CGGGTGTGCGCTACTGGCTGGAGGGCGGCTCACTGCTGGGGGCCGCCCGCCACGGGGACATCATCCCATGGGACTACGACGTGGACCTGGGCATCTACTTGGAGGACGTGGGCAACTGCGAGCAGCTGCGGGGGGCAGAGGCCGGCTCGGTGGTGGATGAGCGCGGCTTCGTATGGGAGAAGGCAGTCGAGGGCGACTTTTTTCGCGTGCAGTATAGCGAAAGCAACCACCTCCACGTGGACCTGTGGCCCTTCTACCCCCGCAACGGCGTCATGACTAAGGACACGTGGCTGGACCACCGGCAGGATGTGGAGTTCCCCGAGCACTTCCTGCAGCCGCTGGTGCCCCTGCCCTTTGCCGGCTTCGTGGCGCAGGCGCCTAACAACTATCGCCGCTTCCTGGAGCTCAAGTTCGGGCCCGGGGTCATCGAGAACCCCCAGTACCCCAACCCGGCACTGCTGAGTCTGACGGGAAGCGGCTGAAGCCCTGATACCCTCGCCTTTGTTTTTCAGGGGTCTGTCTGGATGTGGAGAAGCTCTATGTGAGCAGTGAGGGGTGGAGGGGTGTCGCGGAGACAGGGAAGGGGGAAACTGACCAAGAAAGAAATTCGAGGGAGAGCATGAAAGAAGGCTGACATTGGCAGGAGGAGAGCACCAGGAGGAGGATGGGAAGCGACCTCCAGATTTCTCAAATGGTCATGCCCACTGGGAGCCGTGGATATGCATGGGGACATTCTGGGTCGTCCCAGTCACGGAGGGAACCAGGGATGTCACGCCGTCCCGCAGGGTCCAGCAGGGCCCCAGACCCGAAAAAAGTGTCCTGCCCAAGATTCCAAGAGCCCTGCCCTCTAGGGCAGGGACAGAGATTTGGAAACAGAAAGAGTGCAGGCTCTGGAGCCAGATTGGCAAGATTCAAATCCTGGCTCTATCGCTTATGAGCCAGGTGGGCCTGGGGAAGCATCGCCCTTTCTCAGTGCCTCAATAGCTTCCAGGGTGCGGGACCCTTGGCTGCAGGGATTGCTTCCGCCACTAGAGGGCGCGCCGGTCCCGCTCCTGGTGGCCTACTGTGGCTGCCCGGGCGACAGTATGCCCAGGGTCTCTGTTCCATAGCCATCTACTCTCTTCAGCCTTTGGACTTCTCTCCAAGCCCCTGTGGAAGGCGGACAGCAGTGACCACCTCCCCTTCTTTCGGACTGCGACCTCCTTCCCTCCTGAGAGAGCCCTGTGACCTGCATGCTACTCTTAACTATTCTATTCAAGACTGAGTAGAAGTATTTCAGTCTTGCAGAGGAGAAAATGCTCAGAGCTCCGAGGTGCGGCTGTCGTCGAGAACCGGGTGCTGGACCGGGCGCGGGGGCTCACGCCTGTATTCCCAGCACTTTGGGCGGCCGAGGTGGGAGGATCGCTTGAGCCCAGGAGTTCTAGACCAGCCTGGTCAACATGCCAAGACCCCGTCTCTATTTTTAAAAAAGAAAAAGAACAGACTTCTGAATCTCAGCTCCACTCATGATTATTACCTCATTATTTCAGCTGTCTGCACCTATTTCCCCACTTGCACGGCAGGGTAGACAATAACCGAAGCTCACACTCACTGAGCACCTGCTGGGTACCAGGCACCATTCTCAGTGTTTCCGTTGGATCAACTGGATGCGTCCCTCACCTCAGCCCTCTGAAGTGACAGCTGCTATTATTTTCATTATACAGATAAGGAAGCTGAGGCCAGAATTGTGAAGTCACTTGCTTAAGGTCAGACAGCTTAGGAAGGGGCAAATTGGGGGCTTGAACCCAGGTGGTCAGGCTCTGGAGTCCACAATTGTCTTACCCAGTATGCCCCTCTCTAGTCATGGTCCCCAAGAGAGGCTTGGAGACTCACTTAGCAGGTGAAAGCAATGGCAGCCTGCCTTATTTGATTATGCACCTAAGAATAAATGGTATTTGGGCATGTATTCCCAATATGCGTATATTTATTTATAAAGACATACAGATACTTATCTGTATGTTAGTAATAAAGCTTAAATTATTCCGTTTTAAAATTATGAATATGAATAGGGTTTTCTTATGTTTCTTGCCTCATCCCAATGACTTGTTTTGTACGCCCGGGTGTGAGCACCCAACATTCAAGATCACAGGTTTAAAAAAAAAAAAAAAAAAGGCTAGCCGGGCGCGGTGGCTCATGCCTCTGATCCCAGCACTTTGGGAGGCTGAGGCAGGAGGATCACTTGAGCTCAGGAGTTCGAGACCAGCCTGAGCAATAGAGCAAGACTCTTCTCAATTAAAAATAATAAATAAGGCCAGGCATGGTGGCTCACACCTGTCATCCCAACACTTGGGGGAGCCCAAGGCGGACGGATCTCGAGGTCAAGAGATCGAGACCATCCTGGCTAACACGGTGAAACTCCGTCTCTACTAAAAATACAAAAAACTAGCCGGGCGTGGTGGTGGGCACCTGTGGTCCCAGCTACTTGGGAGGCTGAGGCAGGAGAATGGCGTAAACCCGGGAGGCGGAGCTTGCAGTGAGCTGAGATCACGCCACTGCACTCCAGCCTGGGCAACAAAGTGAGACTCCATCTCAAAAAAATAAAATAAATTTATAAGTAATAAATAAAATAAGAGGCAAAATGTGAAAAACAAGCAAGAACTGGGCACAGTGGCTCATGCCTGTAATCCTGGCATTTTAGGAGGCCAAGATTGGAGGATCCTTTAAGGTCAAGAGTTAGAGACCAGCCTTGGCAACATAGTGAGATCCCTTCTCTACAAAAGAATAAAAAAATAGCCACTGTATTAGTCCCTTCTCACGCTACTAATAAAGACCTACCTGAGACTGGGTAATTTATACAGGAGGAGAGGTTTAATCAACCCACAGTTCAGCATGGCTGGGGAGGCCTCATGAAACTTACAATCATGGCAGAAGGAGAAGAAAACACATCTTGTGATGGCAGGAAAGAGAAGTTCCAAGCAAAAGGGGGGAAAGCTCCTTATAAAACCATTAGATTTCGTGAGAACAGCATGGGGGTAACCACTCCTATGATTCAATTACCTCCCATCCAGTCCCTCCCACGACACAAGGGGATTATGGGAACTACAATTCAAGATGAGATTTGGGTGGGAACACAGCCAAATCATATCAGCCAGGCATGATGGCATGCACCTGTAGTCCTAGCTACGGGGGAGGCTGAGGCAGGAGGATTGCTTGAGCCTAGGAGATCAAGGCTGCAGTGAGCTCTGATTGCACCTCTGCACTCCAGCCTCAGCAACAGAGCATTATCCCATCCCCCAGTCCCCTCAAAAAAAAAAAAAAGAAAGAAAAGACATGGGCTCTGAGGTTGGAGAGGACTGGGTTTCCCAGCGCTGCCACCTCCTCCCAGGGCCTCTGTTGACCTCTGTCTCTGCGACCCCACCTTGCATTTGGGAAATGGAAGCAATGAGATCGCTCCTCCCACAGGAGTGTGTTCGCGGTAAAGGGGTCCAGAGTCTGGCTGGGTTTGAATCCTGGCTTGGCCACTTGCCTTCTTTGTAATCTCAGGCAAGTCACTGCCTCTCTGAACCTGTAAACTGGGGAGATTGGTAATATTGCACAATTGTACATTCCTCAGAGGAGGAGGCCTCACAGACCAGCAAGAGAAGATTACTATTTGGCCCAGTCTCCTGAGGCTTAGACATCCAAAGCCTGATTTCTTGTAACCCGACCCCTGCTTTTAACCACTGAACCCACAAATGGTTCACAAAGTGACTTGGCAGGTCCCCAGGGAGGATTCTGGAATGTATGGGGATGATTTGCATTATCATCATGACTGGAAGCTGCTCTTGGCTCTTGGGAGATGTGGTCCAGGGATGCAGCTGTCTTGTAATATTCAGGAATCTCCACACAGTACAGCATCATCCCTTGTCTCATGCAGCTTCCAGATGTCTCACTGGACATTCAGGAAGGAAGGGTAATATTCAAAATGTTTTGCCACTGGTACTGTCATATAAGTTAATATATGTCAATGTATGCATCGAATTTTTAAAATATTTTAGGCCAGGCATAGTGTCATCCCAGCACTTTGGGAGGCCAAGGAAGGAGGATAGCTTGAAGCCAGGAATTCGAAACCAGCCTGGGGATCAGGCAACATAGAGAGACCTTCATCTCTACGAAACATTTCAAAAATTGAGCAGGGCGTGGTGGCACACACCATTAATCCCAGCACTTTGGAAGGCCGAGGCTGGTGAATTGCTTGAGCCCAGGAGTTCAAGACCATCCTGGGGGCCAGGCGCAGTGGCTCATGCCTGCAATCCCACCACTTTGGGAGGCTGAGGCGGGCAGATCACTTAAGGCCAGGAGTTCAAGACTAGCCTGGCCAACAAGGCGAAACCATGTCTCTACTTAAAATACAACAATTAGCTGGACATGGTGGTACACACCTGCAGTCCCAGCTACTCAGGATGCTGAGGTGGGAGGATCACCTGAGCCCAGGAGGTCAAGGCTACAGTAAGCCATGATCATGCCACTGCATTCCAGCCTGGGCAACAGAGTAAGACCCTGTCTCAAAAAAACAAAAATCCTTATTATCCCCTAAGTTATGATGTGACAAAGATCTGTCACAATTAACCTGAACTAATTCATTTTTATTTGAATACATATTGAATTTTAGTGCTTTCTCAACTACTCTTGTACTATCATCCAGCCAGAATAGAAGTATTTCAATATTTTAACAACCAGTATTGGCCAGGTATGGTGGCTCACGCCTGTAATCCCAGCACTTTGGGAGGCCAAGGCGGGCGGATCACAAGGTCAGGAGTTTGAGACCAGCCTGGCCAAAATGGTGAAACCACGTCTCTACTAAAAATACAAAAATTAGCCAGGCGTGGTGGTGGGCACCTGTAGTCCCAGCTACTCGGGAGGCTGAGCAGGAGAATTGCTTGAACCCAGGAGGCAGAGGCTGCAGTGAGCTGAGATCATGTCACTGCACTCCAGCCTGGGCAATAGAGCGAGACTCCATCTCAAAAACAAACAAACGAAAAAGAACAGTATTTCCACACTAGTTCAGACCAACTAAATTTTAGCCTTACTTGGAGGTGAAAACCCTGGCCAAAACTCTCTGTCTTGTAAATACAAAGTCCTTTTTGTTTTCAAATGGCCTCAGAATCTTCCAGGAAGTGCAACTACCACAAAAAATGAGGAAAGCTTGTATCGTGTTTTGTTCAAAACTTGGCCAAAGGTTGTCCACCATGTGAAAAAAATCACATTGCACATGGCTGTTGGTAATTGGACACCAGTCCACATGCTTTCAATGTGTTAGAACTGTCTATAGTATAGGTGTAAACATCTGGTTACCTCCTTGGGTTCAGGGGTGCTGGCTCCACACATCTGCATAATGAAATGCATATTGTAAGTTTAGTATGTTCTTATTTCTTCTTTTTATTACATTTAGGGCAATCAAGGATTGTTTTTCTTGCTGCTGTTGCTGTTGTTGTTGTTTCTGAGACAGGGTCTCACTCTCTCACCCAGGCTGGAGTGCAGTGGCACAGTCTTGACTCACTGGAGCCTCAACTTCCCAGGCTCAGGTGATTCTCCTACCTCAGCCTCCCAAGTAGCTGGGACTGCAGATATGTACTACCACACCCAGCTTTTATATATATATATATATTACATCTCTACTAAAAATACAAAAATTAGCTAGGTGTGGTGGCTCATGTCTGTAATGCCAGCAGTTTCGGAGGCCAAAGCGGGTGAATTACTTGAGGTCAGGAGTTCAAGACCAGCCTAGCCAACATGGTAAAACCCCATCTCTACTAAAAATACATATATATATATATATATATATATATGTATTTTGGGTAGAGATGGGGTTTCACCATGTTGCTCAGACTAGTCTCAAACTCCTGGGCTCAAACAATCTGCCCACCTTGGCCTCCCAAAGTAGGATTTTCTTAAATCATGTTAAATCATGTGCCAGCGGGTTATACTATCCATGAACTTCATTTCAGGAGAACAGAGAGAACTTTCCCAGAACTGACATTCAAGCCAGCACACGCCCTGGGATGGTCATGCCAGTGGTTTAAACCCCAAAACACTAAATTATGGATTATTTATCCATTCATATCACTGCCATGAACCCCCTGACTATTAGTATCCTCCTAGCTCTCCCTGGGGATCCCCTGGGCTGCCCTCTGGCCCAGCAGTCCAGGGGTTAAACTGGGTATAGTGGGAGGTAAGGGGGACCCATATCCCGGATGTTGGATGGACCAATGACTTTGCCAAGCAGTAAATATTTTGTGTATCAGCCCTACATGTTACAAAATATTTGCTATGAACAACGGTGGCATGTAAAGACCTGTCTACATTAGCCAGCTGTGGTGGCTTATGCCTGTAATCCCAGAGCTTTGGAAGACCAAGGCTGGAGAATCGCATGAGCCCAGGAGGTGGAGGCCACCCCGGGTAATATGTTGAGACCCTGTCTCTACAAAAAAAAATTTTAGGCCGGGCGCAGTGGCTCATGCCTGTAATCCCAGCACTTTGGGAGGCTGAGGCAGGCAGATCACTTGAGGTCAGGAGTTTGAGACCAGCCCGGTCAACATGGTGAAACCACGTCTCTACTAAAAATACAAAAATTAGCCAGGTGCGGTGGCTCACACCTGTAATCCCAGCACTTTGGGAGGCCAAGGCAGGTGGATTACTTGAGGTCAGGAGTTCAAGACCAGCCTGGCCAACATGGTGAAACCCTATCCCTAGTAAAAATACAAAAATTAGCTGGGCGTGATGGTGGGCGCCTGTAATCCCAGCTACTCAGGAAGCTGAGGCAGGAGAATTGCTTGAACCTGAGAGGCAGAGGTTGCAGTGAGCCGAGATTGCACCACTGTACTCCAACCTGGGTGACAGAGCAAGACTGTCTCAAAAATAAAATAAAATAAATGAAAAATAAAAAACCTGTCTACAAATGCACCTTTATGCACAATAGCCCCAACCTGGAAACCATCAGATGTAAATCAACAAGTGGGTGGATAAGCAAACTGTGGTACACCCAGACAACATAATACTCCTTAGCAAATTTTTCGAA